GACGTGACATGTTCGTACGAACCCTTTGTACGAACAAAAGTAAGAGAAATTTAGGATAAGAATACGAACATGGGCCTCATGCAATTTAGTTGGATAGCACAGTATTAATGTCTGAAAATAAGCTGCTTTAAAGTCAGCATCAGCCATAAACTAAATCTGCCATAATGCATATTACTACTCACTAGAAACTCATCAGTGAGATAAACTTTATTAGTTTTACTTTTAATACTATTTCTGTATTTATTTCAGATTTAGTCAGTCGTACACTTAATTCTTATCAGTGTTTAAAAGAGGACATGTTAAAACACTGTCTAGTCAAAGTTAAACATGAAACGTCAAAGTTAACTACAACTGGCCCTTCGAGGGCCACCACAAGGCTCATGTGGCCCTCGGTGAAAATGAGTTTGACACCCCTGATCTAGGCTGTAGCTAATCAATGTTGAAGAGAAAGATGTGCGTAGAACTGCAAATTGACTAGATCCACATTACATAAATAAATTTTGTGAGAATATCAAATTTAACCAACAGACTGTTAAATCTCACAGAGGCACACAGGGTGAACGAGGTGAAGAAGTGACTGAGGCTGAGTCAAATGCAGCTGGGTCCAGAGATTTATTTTAGTGTGACAGTGTCAGAGGAAAAATAAATTACTGTAAAAATTACATCCCACTTTGTAAACCAAGGTGGGAGCAGTGGTAGCTTTGTGCATGTGTGATTCTTTTGCAGCAGTCTCCTCTCTGCTCTGACTGCAGAGTTGCTGTGTGAGACTTTAAAAGTAGACTGGCAGTGGCTGAGAGTACTTATCCTAAGAGCTAATATCATATGCTGTCTTTATTACAGCACGACTTCTCAGTGGTTAGCACCGACGCCAGACAGCAAGAAGGTCCTGGGTTCGATCCCTGGTTCGGACCTGGGGTCTTTCTGTGTGGGTTTTCTCCGGGTACTCCAGTTTCCCCCACAACACAAGAACATGTACAATAGGTTGCCTTCAGGCCCAGGCCTCCCTTGAAAAAGAGATCTACGATCTCAATGGGACTTGCCTGGTAAAATTACGGTAAAAAAATACATATATAAATTTTGACATGCAAATCCACTTTAAAAATGGCTGTATTGTCCATTTATTAATTAGTGCCCGAGACCACAGCAGTGACAATTTTAGTCCATTTTTAAGGGTGGTCAAACACCAATTCATGAACTTCTTACTGTGAGGCATTAGCGTTAACCACTGAGAAGAAAAGGGGTTTTTATGGAAGAATATTGTGCTTTTCATATAGCAGACTGTCGGTTTAAGCTGCAGCCATCCTTCCTTAATAGGTTTGTTTCTCAAATGTAGCTACAACTGGTTAACATTACAGTAAAGCTACAACCCACTACTGGAATATTAATAGATATTTCAAGCAACTAATAAACATGATCAATGATGATTGCATGGGCTCGAAGTGATTACTATTATAATTTCATTGAAGCTGGTGATTTTTTTCTTCATAAAAGTTAGGCTACACTACATTTCTTAGACTGTGGTTAGAATGGACAAATTTAGTCTACTTTATATTTGTAAAATCTAAATTGCAATGAAAGAATTTCCTTGCAGAGGGAAAAGAGATGATAGTGTAATTGGAAAGTCCAACACTTTTTTTAAATTTAATATTTAAATTTATGTTTTATTTCATTTTTAATGTTTGGATATCTATGAATTCAATTCAGTTAATTTACAGTGCCAAGTCATGACAAAAGTCGCCTCAGGGCGCTGTACACACAAAAAATAAATAAATAAATAAATCTAAGGAAGCCAGCAGATTTATGTTGAATCTTCACTTCGTCACAGTCTCCCATCCTGAGCAGCACGTTGGCAGCAGTGGGGAGGAAGAACTCCCTTTTAACAGGAAGAAACCTCCAGCAAAACCAGAATCAGGCTCAGGACAGGCTGCCATCTGCCTCTACCGGTTGGGTTTGTGGGGACTGGAAAGAGTCACAGACAAACAGAAAGACAGGTCCAGGTGTATTTTCCTCTGTAAGAGAGGTAAAAAAAAAAAACATGTTATTGATTGATTGATTAATAATTACAACAAACATGTAGAGAAGAGTGACTAAAGGCAGCAGCAGAATGATGAAATGTGGTCAGTTTGTACTCCAGTAGTCTTAACCTACATCAGCATAACTAAAGTAAAACTCAGGAAACCTAAAGGCTCCCACATACTCGGGCATACTGTGTGTGGTCCGTGAGCCGCGCGGACTCCACGCGTATTGTCCGTGGGTGTTTGGGACTTCATACTCGAGCGTACTGACCGCCGGACAAATTCTTTAATTTCTCGCAATTTCAGTCATGATGTCAAGGATCAGGAGGAAGAGCTAGTTTGCATTTTAGCTTTAAAACAATAAAAGAAAAAAAAGGAAAATAACAACCTTACCCAGGATCTGAGCTATTTCCTCCCACAAATTTGTTGCTCGCTGAAAGTCTTTATATTCCTTCATTGACGTGCCATAACGTTTTCTAATCTCCTCCATGAGACGCTTTTCAAGATTTGACTCCATTTCGTCCACAAATGACACCGATTCTCAACTTAATCATCTTCGTGTTATATCCAAAACAGTACTCTCCATTGTGCGCACCATGGACGTGGACGTAAAAAAATCATCTCTGCGCGGACCAGTCCGGCGGATGTCTGCATCGCGTCCACCTTGCACAGACCACATGGATGTGGTCTGTGCAAGATTAAAATCAGACACCACTCTCAGCAGCAGAACCACACTTTCCACAGAACAAATGTGCCAACTCCTCAAACTGTGCCTGGAGTCAACCTACTTCACGTACGGGGGGCAATATTATAGGCAGAAACATGGGTGTGCCGTGGGATCCCCAGTTTCTCCTTTGTTGCAAACCTGTACATGGAGGAAGTGGAAAAGAGAGCCTTGATG